GCGTGTCAGAGGTGACACGCGGACTCTTTTTTTTGATTGATTTTTCTTAAGTGGCATTTAAATATATAAAATAAATATCAAAAATATAAGTCTTTATTTTACTATGGTTGCAAATATCAAAAAATTTCTATATGTGACACGGCACCAGAGTTAAGTTACGGTTTTTTTTCAAAATGCTGACACGCCGAGCTCAAAAGGTTCACCATCACTGTTATAGGTCAATATCCCTGATGAACATAGATGCTAAAGTCCTCAACAAAATATTAGGGAACTGGATCCAGCAATACATTAAAAAAAATCACACACCATGATTAAATGAGATTTATTCCGTGGATAAGTTTGATACAATATCTACAGAACAACACATATACCACATTAACAAAATGAAGGATAAAAACCACATGATCATAGCAATAGTTGCATAAAAATGCATTTGATAAAATCCAGCATCCATTTATGATAAAAACTCTCAGTAAAGTGGGAATAGAGGGAACATACCTCAATGTAATAAAGGCCATATGACAGACCCACAGCCAACAACATACTCTGTGGGCAAAATTTACAAGTTTATAACCTTCAGGTATCATTCTGATGAACTGGTCATTTGATAGATTCTCAGCATCTGTATTTGTCAGTTGATGTCTTCATTTCTTTTTTTTAATAACAGCTTTATTGAGATACAATTTATATGCCATAAAATTCATCCATGTAAGTGTATAGTTCAATAGTTTTAGTTGTGAGACCATCACCACTAATTTTAGAAAACGTTCCTTTCCCCCAAAAGAAATCCTGTACTCATTAGGAGTCATTCCTCATACTTTTCTGGGCCCTGACAGCCACTAATCCGTTGTTTCTACAGATTTGCTTATTTTGGACATTTCATAAAAATGTGGCTATTTGTGACTGGCTTCTTTCACTTAGCATAATGTTTTTAAGTATCATCTGTGTTGTTGCATGTATCAGTACTTCATTCCTTTTTATTGATGAATAGTCCCATTGTGTAGACATTACCATATTTTATCAGTTGAGGGAAATTTAGATTGTTTCCATTTTTGGCCTATGATTAATAATGCTACCATGAACATTCATATGCAAGTTTTTGTGGATATATGTTTTCATTTCTCTTGGGTAGAACTCTAGGAGTAGAATTGCTGGGTTGTATGGTAACTCAGTTAATTTATTTGAAATAAACATTAATTTTCCCATAAATGTCAGCTTATTTGGTTTATAATATTAGTTTGTCTATATGATATCTATATTACACATATTACACTATATACTGTTATATATATTACTAGAAGCCCAGTGCACAAAATTTGTGCATTGGGGGGTGGTTAAGGTGCCTTCTCGCAATCCGGGACCGCTCTCTCCTAACCGCTTGCCTGCCTGCTCGCTCCTAACCTGCTTGTTCCTAACCGCTCGCCTGCCTGCCTGCTCAGTGTGCATCGTTTTGGTCATTCCAGTTGTTCCATCATGACGGTCGCTTAGGCTATTATATATATAGATAATAGGTCTATCTATTAGTATAATTTTGAATGTAATTCTAGCATCTAGTCTATTAGGTAGCAGGTATTATCTACAAATTTAATTGGCCTTCTCTTTTGTTGTCAAAATTGCTAATAGAATTAACTAGGTAAGGACCAATGAGATTACTCTGTGACATCTCTTAATTTTTTTTTTATGGTTATGTTTTATTCAGCTGTAACTTTATTCAACTGTACCAAAACCTGGTCATTATTTCTCCATTAAGGCCACAGTAATTTTATAAGAAACACCAAATTCCTTGATTAATTTAGTAATCTTTCAACAAATATTGAGTCTCTTATATATGCCTGACATTGTTCTTGGCTCTGGGTGTATAGCAGTTATAAAAGTAGGTCCCTGTCTTTATGGAGTTTACATTGTATATGTCAGCTAAATACTAGGATAATATCCTCAAACAGAAGAAAATTAGAAGAGTTTAACATGACTTATTCCTAGTAAACTCACACTGGCTTATAGTGGTTAGTGTTTCTTAACACATTGTGTACCGCTCACGAGTTTTCTTGTGTTTCGCGCGCCATCTGTTAAAGACCGCTCATGAGTTTTCTCGCGTTTCGCGTGCCATCTGTTATGGACCTTAGATGTCAACACACTGCCTGGTCCACTGTGGGGCACGGTTACAGTGTTTTGGCCAGGGTCAAGCCTCGGACTAATGAAAGGACAGGGTCCTCTCACTGCCACGTGCAAGTCCCAGCTGGAGGTCAGGGCCCTCCCAGCACAGTCATAGCCAACAGCTGTGGTTGTAAGCTTGAACCTATGGTCTGAACACGTAGCCCCACATGCCTTGTGATCGAGTTTAGGTGGATGTGGTTGAGTAGGATTGAGACTCTCGAGAATGCTGTAAACAATGTGATCACACCCCTACTTTGCCTCGTGGCATCTCCTATAAAATAAAGACACCATGATGGGAATATGAAAAGGTCAAGAGCCTGAGAGTAAAGGGAAGCATATGGGAGGGGTTTGTGCTGCTGCCATTTGTGTGACCCCCACTCCACCCCTGAGAGGCTTTGGGAGTCCCACCCTACCCCGGAAAGGTCCAGGATTGTTGGTGCTTCTGCCTTCACTTACAATGAGCATGCGAGTCAAAAAGGTTGCCCACCCCTGGTCTAGAACCTTTGGAAGGGAACTATTACAGCATTTTAAGGCACTAAATAAGCCTCCTGCAGCCGTGGGCTTTTCAGACCCCTGCAGAGCACAGCAGTGAGGTGGCCTCAGCTAAGGCCAGGGCTGAGCCCTCGGCTCAGCATCCTGTCGCCCTTATGGGGCAGCCTCTCCCAGTAACTGATCAGGGGCTGCATTTTTAAAGTTGCCAATAGTGATAATAGATACCTGGTATTGGTCACCCGTTGTGTAGATGGGGAACAATAAGGGTGGCCCCTCTAGACCCAGAGCCCACATTCTCATCAGGAAGCAAACAAGTGTAGGTTGAGGGTGTCCTGTTAAGAGTGGGTGTGTGCTTTGCTGGGGCAGAGTGAGGCGGTGACATCTGAGCTGGTCCTACAGGCGTTTATCAGGAGGGGGGGCATGTTGGGAAGAGAGAACATCAGAGAAAAGGTACCCAGGTGTGTGAGGCAGCTAGACCCCAGGCTTTGGGTATCCATGTGGGGACCTGGCAAGGGGACAGGTGGCAGTGGGTGCTGGTTAGTGACAGGCACCCAGAGCATCAGGTTGAGAAGTGTAAACATTGTCTAGAGTGAATTGGGGAGCTCAGGGAGGTTTTTAATGCACAGGGGGAAGATGTGATCAGATTTCTGTTTGGGAAGATCATCCTGGGACAGTGTGGAGGGTAGCTTAAAAGAGGGGAGACAGCCCTGACCAGTTTGGCTCAGTGGATAGGTATTGGCCTGCGGACTGAAGGGTCCCGGGTTTGATTCCAGTCAAGGGCATGTACCTTGGTTGCGGTCACATCCCCAGTGTAGGTTGTGCAGGAGGCAGCTGATCAATGTTGCTCTCACATCGATGTTTCTAGCTCTCTGTCCCTCTCCCTTCCTCTCTGTAAAAAAAATCAATAAAATATATTTAAAAAAAAATAAATTTCAAACAATATACAAACCAAAGCAACAGTTGTCTTTGGACGAGGGAATGATTCCATGGAGAGGACGTTTCAAATTTTGTACGTACAACCCAGCGAAAATAACAAAATATGGTTTACTTGTTTGGATGGTGTGCGAGAGTGACACCGGCTAAATCTGCAGTATGGAGATATACAATGCTGAAGGAAGGAAATTGCAAAAAACGGTTCTTTCAGTCTTTGGACCCT